AGAATCTACCAAACCTGCAAATATAAAACAAAAAAAGCTTATTTAAATTGAAACAGGCAGGTAAAAAACTCAGTACTTTATCCTATGTACACCACAAGGTAACCTATTGGAAAAGAAGGAATATTAAATTCCAAGATCATATTCTCAATATTGCATCCATTTCACTTTCCACACTGGCAAAAATTTACACAGCACAGGTTAAAAGAGAAACATTAGGCATGGCCAAGTAGTGTGCTCTCATGTTGTCAGGTATACAAAACGTTCAAAGTTCCTATTTCATTTCCTTAATCCACTTTCTCTTCTGCATAACATGCATATCAATTCAAATATCAATACTACGGACATGTAACTAGATATCAACCAAAAATACAATCCCAGAATATCAGTTTCTAACTGGTGAAAATCAAGCAGCTGAGTAAATTAGAAAGCTCACAATATTATCTTCCAAAACAAAAATTTTAACATGACACCGAGATTTCTCAGGCTATACTCAGCTCGAACCCTGTGCTGAACTGCTTGCACAGAAATAATAATTTTAATCATACATTTCCCATTTCCTTGCTCTTAAAAATACAAAAGAAACTGCATCATTCAACGCTATGCAGTAAAGCTTCTCAAATAAAAAAAAAAACAAATTCCTCTAAAATTCAAAAATCCAATTTATTTCCATTTCGTTCATCTTTCTCAGCACCCCCAAACAGAGAAACCTAGCCAAATTCCCAAACTCCCTACCCTCTAGAATCAAATCCATGGATGGGAAGATTCACAGCTCCAAACAAAAACCCTAGAAATTTGCTTGACAAGTGTAAAAAAACAGTGAGATTCGAAAACATCATCCCTTAAAAACAACCAATGGATTCAAAAACAACACGTAAAAAATTCAAAAACAGCAATATAACTTACAGATCGAAGACGAGCGAAAGTCGAATAGGGAGAACGAGGTAGTTTCGTGGTGTTTGGCTCCCACGGCCGAACTTGTTCTTCACATGGAACTAGAATGCAATACAATGTGAGTTCAGCATTTGACTTTTTCTGTGGGGGTCTGGCATTTGCATATGGGAAGCACCGAAAGCTCGACGGTAATAAAAATTGGGATTTGATTTTGGTGCAGCCTGCAGCGACGTTGGGGAGTTTCTACGTCACTGTGGA